AAGCGGACATCTGTCATGACTCTGCATGTTTTGGGTTCTGTTTAAGTTTTCTTTTTTTTAGTTTTCAGTTATACTTTGATTCATGTCGTTCTGTGTTTTCTAATTTATTGATTTTATTTCCATTTTGTGTTATTGTAGTCAATTTTTATTGAATTGGAGTTCCTTGGTATTTTTTGCCCTCTGCTGCCCTCTTGTGTCAGTCTTTTTTTTTTTCCCTAGCTCCCTTCTAGACTCCTCTGTCCACACCTGCTCCCAATCTGCTGATTAGCCTGGTCTTTGAAATTCTCCCATTTATACACCTCATGTTTAGTCACTGTTTGCTGGTTCCTTGTCGTTATTGTTGAGTTGCTTTGTCGTCTCCTTGCTCCCCATGTGTTAACCCTGATGTTATTGGATTTTTTTGGTTCTCAGTATTTTTAGATTTTTTGCTCTGTTTCCTTGGACGTGTAATTAAATCTACAAACTCACCCCAGCCTCCCCACCTCTGCATTTGGGTCCTCAAAAACCTCCACTTAACATCATCCCTGGATGCACTTCTTGAGCATCCATTAAAAATTATATTTATTTAATGACATGTGCAAAACACTTGTTCAGCTTTCCTAATTCTCTCTGGACTGATATGAACAAAAATCCCCCATCCTGCAAAAGCATCTGCTTCCTTCCTTTTTGGCCACTCGGAGCTGCTGATCCAAGAGGAAAACAAGGCTCGGAGGAGGATGTGATTTAATCAGTTTACTGCTCCGTCATCCCTGCCTGAGTCATGATCCTTGACTCTCCTGGCCTCTAAATGAATCACAGATTCTCTGACTGGGGAACAATTTGTATGTCACTATGATTACATCAACTGCCTAAATCCTTTCCAGTCAAACAACAACCCCTTCCCGAGCCAGAGCCGGCATGTTGCCAGGCGACCAGCGGGGTTTTCAGGGCGGTAATGTGTAACAAACGGATTGGCTGCAGGAAACCAGATCTGATTTTACCTGGGAGATGTTGGAGATAAGGGTCTGACCTGCCAGGCCACCTGTTGCTCTGCTCCTATAAAACAAACCCAGATCACTCCCCTCTCTCTGACTCCAAATAGTCTGAACAGGTTTCTATCAATGATTCTACAAGTGTGAAAAGCAATACTTTACATCAAATCAATCTTTTCACTACTCTGATATGGGTGAAACCTTCACTTCCTCCCACTCTAACCTCATCTTAATGGAAGTGCAGACCTCACTGTTGCTCTTATTAGAAGTCTCATGACTTTTCTGAAAACAAGCTAGCCCACAAACCACCCGGCCCAGATAATAATGCTCTCCTTTTCCCTCCTTTAATTTGTTGACATCCACCAGACAAACACAGTGCTGAGTAAATCACCTAAGGATTATCACATGACTCATGGTTACGGACGGGAACATATGCTATTAATGACATCCTTATGTCACTGCACTATAGTAGTAGCTATATGATTAGCATTGCAGTTCTATGCAGTATATTGCTACATTTGTCCCACTGAGCTGCTTTATTCAAATGCTTGGTTGTTACCAGATATTTTACAAGGGAATACATGAGAGTCTTCACCATCATGTGGTCCAGTGGCACCACCACCACCATGTCCTTGCTGTCAACAACCACTGATGTTACGGCTGAAAAAATTTGTTTAATTAATATGTTCATATTAATAAATAATTTTTTTAATTTAGCAGAATGTAAACTTTTGGATAAAAAAATGATATATCTGCTCATTATGTGGAGATCCAACAAGAAGCATTGCTCTGAAATAATTACATCTCTGATCTGAAAGCTCCCAAAAAAGAAGCGCTACCGCAGGTTATTCATCTCTGCTGCCACCAAACTCTACAATGCGACACTACAACGGCAATAAGTTGTGCAACGTATAATGTGCAATTACTATTTATTGACCCTGTGCAATTTATTCACTCATATCTGATACCCAGTGGAGTATATATATATATATATATATATATATATATATATATATATATATATATATATATATATATATATATATATATATATATGAGCTTTATGGGGAGATCCAGTAGACTGCGTGAGCTGATGCTAGAGCTTCACTCAGGGTCCTGGAAGATGGAAGTCCAGTTTGGATAACACAAGTTGAGAGAACCTGTCCATGATGAGCAAGCATGAAGCGGCAGTGGAGAGGAAAAACTCCCTGAAACCTCTGGCAGAACCAGGCTCAACATGGTGGTCTTCTGCCGGACCGGCTGAAATGAGACACGGAATGCAGAAAGAGTCCTGGAGTAATGAACTCTGATGAGGTTTTAGCTACGATGGTGGAGGAGGTGCTGGAGGTGGGTTGAAACGGGGTCATCTGTTGTAATGTTTGTTGTCCAGGTGAACACCAAGGTATTAATACCACTCCTCCACCTTCACTTATTCTTCAATGATTTTAATGGGATTAAACTTGTTTCTCTTCCTTCTGAAATCTACAATCATCTCCCTTGTGTTCACATTCAGGATCAGATGATTGTTTCCACACCATGCCAGAAAGCAGTTCACCAGCTCCCTGTACTTAGCTTCTTGTGCATCTTTGATATCTCTAATTACTGCAGAGTCATTGCTTACTTTTACAAAGTCCAGTCATGTGCTTTTATGAAGAAGATCCTAACGGTTTTTGAGTCAGGAGGTCATGACTTCTGTAGCTTTTGCTTAAGTGTCACATGTGATTGATTCATTATTTCTCTATAAAGTTAATTGTTTTAATGGCTATCTTTTATTTCAGTCAATGTGTAGCTTTTAAAATATGCCGGTAAGTGCTTACTAAATTAATAATTCAACATAAGATTAAACTATAAAACTGATGACAGGAACATTACAACAGTATGCTTTAACCAGTTTGATGGAGGTTAAGATGATGTACTGTTAATCAACTTAAAGGATAAGGGAAATAATAAAAAATTGCAAGTATTTTTGAGTTTTTGTCATTCATTTAAAAAAAAACTATAACTAAATTAAAAAAATAAGACACACATTAAGGCAGATATTTCATAGTATACACTCAGCAGTAAAGAGGGTCATAAAAATTGTGAAATTTGGGGAAAATATAGGCCCCTCCTGCAATTTATCCAGTTAATTAAGAGCAACAAATGTTGCATGAGGGTCATAAAACAGAGGAATATGCTCTTTTAAAACATTCAAAGTTACTAAAACTGTTACATACATGAAAATAAAGTTATAACATCAGAGCGGAGTGCTTGTTGTAAATAAAATTATGAATTAAAAGTTGTATTTATATAGCAGAAGCAAAACTTTGAAAGACTTGATAATGCCAAAATGAGTGTGACACCCATGCATTGGTCAGTATGCAGCATATAAACCATTTCTGTTAAAGATAGTAGATACTGACATTACTTTTTAGAAATATTCATACCTCTTCAATCTTTTTGTGTTTTTCTAGTCGGTCAAACAATAAAATAGATTTAAATTAGTAGTTTAATGTCACAAATTTGGGGAAAAATATTTTTTCCAAATTTAAATTTTGGAAAATTACTAAAAAATTTAAGCAAGCCACTCAATCTGTGGGGTATTTTCTAAAATTTAAAAATGTAAAATAAAAACACTAAAATATATTAGTTGCTTACAATTAATGTGCCTTTTAAACAGCCATAAATGTAATAAACATTGAAATCATAATTATTTTGCTCAGTTGGTGAAAACTGCATTAGAGATAAGAATGCTAAAACCTCAAACAATATGCATTTCACTCACTCTCATTTTAAACTTGTTTGCTTATCTTTGCCGGAGGGGATTAGGGACACTGAAAAAGTAAAAAAAGTTGATTGATTTTTTAAATTTTATTTCAGTTTAATATGGGAAAAAAGTCAGAATTCTGACTTTAATCTCAGAATTTTGGATCTTAATGTAGATGGGCACCTTGAAGGAAGAAATGTGGGCGCACTCAGCTTCACTGACAAAAATTTGAGTTTCTTGGGAGGAACATTAACTCACTGGTGGAAAATGGCGCAATTAGGCAACTTTTTACATGCCAGTAGGTTCCCAGGTGATGCTATTTCATTAATGGAAGAGCTGAAGGTGAAAACAAGAGAGCTAATCTCTAAAACAGACATGACTATGGCTTGATGCTAACTTGTTTGTTAGCTGTCAGAAAAAAAGTCAGAATTCTGAGATTAAAGTCAGAATTGTGAAAAAAATTAAGAATTCTCTGGTTAATGTCGGAATTCTGAGAAAAAAGTCAGAATTGTGAAAAAAATAGTAAGAGTTCTGTGATTAAAGGCAAAAAAGTGAGAAAAAAGTCAGTATTCGGAGAAATAAATGTCAGAATTGTGAGATTAAAGTCAGAATTGTGAGAAAAAAGTAAGGAATTGTGAGATTAAAGTCAGAATTCTGAGAAAAATGACAGAATTGTAAGATTAAAGTCAGAATTGTGAGAAAAAAGTCAGAATTGTGAAAAAAATAGTAAGAGTTCTGCGATTAAAGGCAAAAAAGTGAGAAAAAAGTCAGCATTCGGAGAAATAAATGTCAGTATTGTGAGATTAAAGTCAGAATTGTGAGAAAACAGTAAGAATTATGTGATTAGAGTCAAAAACGTGAGAAAAAAGTCAGCATTTGGAGAAAAAAAATGTCAGAATTCTGAGGTTAAAGTCAGATTGTGAGAAACAGGTCAGAATTGTGAGGAAAAAAAGTAAAAATTCTGTGATTAAAGTCAGAAATGTGAGAAAAAAGTCAGAATTCAGAGATTAAACTCAGAATTAGAGATTAAACTCAGAATTTTGACTTATTTGTTATTATACTCAAATGAAATTTAAAAATCAGTAAACTTTTTTATTTTTTCATTGGCCCTAATCCTATTCCGTAAGTTTCACTTTGAGTCGTGTTTTCTAGTAACTCTTCTCGCTTATTTTGAGGACTATAAACAAGGGGGAGGAGCTTTCTTCCAATTTAGGAGCGGATCTGGTGACGTCACTCGGAGGCCAGCGCCCCTGCGTACCACACAAGTTGCAACACGCGCTCCTTAAGCCATCAGAGGAGGAGGGGGAAGCTACGACCGTTATGGCGCAGATGCGTTGAGCTGTCACTGGTTTACCGAGCAAAACCAAAACATTACCGGGGAGACTGCGAGCCTACGCGCCGTTTAAAAAACAACAACTAGTGAAGCGTATCTCTACGCATTATGCTGAATTTTATCCATTTCTGCCACTTCTGAGAGCCGGAGTTCGCCAAAGGGGAGTGTCGGTATAGCGGAGTTGACAGTTAACGGCTGGGGCTCAGCTGACATTTTTTATTATTTCGTATTACTGCCGTTTGAGCACCGAATGACTGGAAACATCTGAAGCTAGCAGAGGCAGCCCGGTGGGAGCTACGCATCGATCCCTCCGCTATTTTTGGTGAACTGTCCGAGCAGACGGAGCTATTAATCAGTCGATAAGAGCTCAGCATGGATTCATGAACGGTATCTGCTTCTGAATTTCACATGCCCCGTTTGTTTGGTTGTTTGTAGTCGGATATATTCAACAAAAATAATGTCAGACAACCAAAGTTGGAACTCCTCCGGCTCTGAGGAGGATTTAGAGCCCAGAGAGGAGTATGGACACCCTGCTGGTGTTGTAGAGTTCAGTGGAGTACTCAGTAAGGTAAGCCATGTTTTAACCTAAACTTAAGCTAATCAGCCATGGATGGTTTAATTTTAACGGTTAAGGATGGAGTAGATTCACATCAGTCAGGAAGAGGTTTGACAAACCCTTTTTTTTATTGCAAAAACAAAAAAATAGCATACATGAATTACAATTACAAACCTATACAACAACAAAGGGCTTTACAGAACACAACTGTTATCTTAAAATGTCAAAATCTAATCTATGCTCGAGGGTTATAATTCTTTAAGGGCAGTTATAATTTGCATGGCTTTTAACTAAATTTTAAGGATTCTATATAGATATTAATAGAAGATAATAAAATCTGGAAATTAGGTTTTTGTTGTAAATATTTGGAGGTGTGAACATATTTACCATAAATAATAATAAAAGAAAATTATATCATATGAAAATCCTGTTTTGACAAGTTTACATTTCTATATCCCAAACAAAACATCCTTATCTGTTAAAGTAATGTTAAGATTTTTTTTGGATGAATAAAAATGGACATATCTCTCCAGAATATTTTGGTATAATTACAATAAATAAGTTTTTTTTCATTATTTTATTACAAAAAAAGGTTTGACAAATGCTAGCATGCCTGTTTCTGGGCTGGGTTATCTCAGATGCAGGCTGGTAATCCCCATCTGATCCCAAAGCAGAACCCTAAAAGAAACAGATGAGCTGTCTGTGTAATCCATACTTTACTGCTGTGCCTCTTCAGAAGAACACATCCAGCATCTTTTTTTTTTTTTTTTTACCTTAAACCTGTTTCTCCGGGCTTTTAAGATCGATTTGGAAACATTTTATGGGACATGCTAAAAAAACAGAGTAAGAAATAAAGAAGTATGAATGTGTGGATAATGGACAAATGGATGGGTGATGGTTATTACATGGATGGTTAGTCTTAATAAACATGAAAGATGGACAGATGAATGTGTGGATGGTTGAGAAGGATAATGGACGAAGGAGGGATTTCTGATGGACAAACTGGATGAGTGTAAAGAAGAGAAAATCAGATGGATGTTGGATAGTATTATATATTATGGAATAATAAACTGAAAGATGGATAGTTGACATGTTTAGAGTTAAGTTATGCTTTTCCAATCCTTTACAAAGTTTTTCAGCAGTTCAACATAAAAACTGCAGTGTCACAGATAGCAAACTGTTTGGACACAACAGATCTTAATTTAACTAAACTTGATTATCATGTTCCCTAGTCAAATTTATTCATACTTTGATGTAAAAACAAATTGTAACAACAAAAACCCACGCAGAAAAGACAAATTCTATATATGAATAGAGGGAGTGTCCAAACCTATGACTCAATCTTTTATATTTGCCAATCATGTGGTTTCTGTGCTGATTAACGGCTTATTTTGATATCTGTTGCACAACTGTGTCTCATGTCAGCTGTACATACATCTGAAATCAGTAAATGGCCTCATTGGTCACAAATAGATAGTTTGAAATGTTGCTTCTGCTCTGTTTTTTTGCACCATGCATTGTGGTAACCTCTTTTGCTGCTCCCTCCCTTGTTTTAGGCTACATTTTCTGCAGGGTAACCACAGTGTTTAGGTGATAAGCTGTTAGGAAGCTAATGTGGTATCCTTCTAAGTGCACACAGATTATCTCTAAACAGATTGCATGCTGACCCGCTAACCAAGCAAATTGTAAGATTAAACAAATCCACATTTGGTAAGGCTCACCTGTTTGCATTATATACGTCATGACTACAGAAAGGATTGATGATTGTGCACTGGTGTGACTTTTCTGCCCTGCCATGACTTTTTGAGAAACGGAGCCAACTCTCGTTCAAAAGCTTCGGTTGTTCTCGTCGCAAATGTAGAGGTAAAACAATACAAATCTGTTAAACTTTTTCTCATTTTGTTGTAATAAATCAATATCATAAAGATTTCTTACTAGGCTTTTATGTTTTAAACCAATGAAATGGTGAAAAACCTTGAAGTGCAAGGAAATGGGTAGTTTGATTTCTTAAAAAAAACAGCAAACAAATCTGGTAAAGTCTGGGTTTTGGTTTACTTTAACAATCCCTTTTTTAATTAAGTTACTACTGCCAAATCTTTTTCGGTGTTTATGTGTATTTTTTGTACCCATCCTTGCACTTTTTCCTGATTAACGCTTTTTTAAAGCTGCTGAAGAAAGTCGTAGGGAAGTCATATTTAAATGTCAAATCATTCTGGCTTAAACATGTATATAAATGTACTCTTTATAGGATTATATTTTCCCTAAATTTAGAAAATTTCTATTTAAAAAAATCCTGTCTTAAAATCGTTTTTTTTTTTTTTTTTTTCATTAACTGATTCAGGCCAGTTAGTTATACATCAGCCTGTACACCTAAATTAGGCCGATCATATATCAATTTCCAATTGGGAATCTACTAGCACTAAGTTCTTAACTGGTTAGCAAGATGCTTCAGAGAAACCGGCCACAACCAAACATGCTTGCAAACCTTCCGCCACAACAACCCCGCCCTCTTGATAAACAACCAATCAAATTCACTTTATTCACTCGTGTAAAGTCGTGCACTACTCGGGAGAATTCAGAAATGCAACGGTTGGCACAGCTGCTGCCCTACGACTTTAAGTTCAATACTCCCATCATCATTTTCATGTGATTAAATCATGTATTTAAAGTGGTGCAATAAAATTTTTGGATATTGCTATTAAAACGTTAAACTATTTATCATTTTCCTTCACTACTTCTCCTACCACCACTACTACTTTTGTGTTTACTTTAACAAAACTATCAAAAATGTAACATATTAACCTTTAAAAAATAGGTCAGCTCTACCACCAGCCTTGGTTAGCTTGGCTGTGAGAGGTTCAGACACCAACTCCTTTCCCCTGTCTGTATCCCCCAGAATTCCATGTGGCTCTGGGTTAGAGTTAACAAACTTATAACATTTCCATTAGACATCATTTCTCTTTATAGAATTGTGTATCTATTGCCATATACATTGATATTGTTTTGTTGCCCAGTCTTAGGTTAAAGTATTTTTCTAGTATAAAGTTGAACACAAGGGGTGTAAAATGCTGTAAAGAGTGCAGCTTCCAAATATGCTACAACATACCAGTCGTGTGCTCTTAAGCTGCGCTCAGTGAACTAAAGAGTTTATTTTATATGTTTTTCTGCCTCGTTTTGAAAATTCAGCTGTATTATCTGTCAATATTTTTTCTTTTTTTTTTCTCAGTGGACAAACTACATCCATGGCTGGCAGGATCGTTGGGTTGTGCTGAAGAACAACACCCTGAGCTACTACAAGTCTCAGGATGAGACGGAGTATGGCTGTAGGGGTTCCCTCTGCCTGAGCAAAGCTGTGATTACGGTGAGTACTGAAGGGTTATAAAGGAAGCAGTGTGCTGGTGAAGATTCTCAGTCAGCCATAGTCATTCTAAAAAGTTAAAAAATAATCAACTAGACTTTGTTTTCCAAGTTTGAAGACATTTTGCTTCCCACCCAGGAAGCTTTTTCAATACATAATGTCTAAATTAGTGTTGAGTTCCAAGCTTTATAGAGTAGCCCAACAAAGCCTTGTTTTGGCTTAAAAACATATAACGGAAGCAGTATTTTTCCATACTGTGCCTTTAGAATGCCTTGTCAGAATAGTGTAGAAAGTTAGGATTTTGATCCTAAACACCATAATTAATTTGGTTTGAGCAGGAATTCTGCTTCGTTTTTTTGGCCAGTTATATATGCATCTTTTGCATTCTTAAAATCCATTTATGTTCAAATGTTGACCAATGTTGAATCCATCATATACAGTATATCATCGTGGCGTCCCTGTAGCCTTTTATCTGCCTCCCAAAAGCATAACCCTGCATTTTAGAAACAGGCAGTATGGGTCTGTTGTCTTTGTCTCATATCCTTTCAAAAATACAATCTAATCATCCAGAGTTATCAGGCTTTGGAAGGTCAGAACAGAAGCTAGTTTCTATGGAGGGAGTTTTGTTCCATTATTATTGAGAGTAAAGAATATGTTTTGTTAATTTTAGATAAAAAAGAACATTTTGAATTCTTTATATTTTCTTATTTTATTTTTCAAATTGTATTGTTTCAAGGGAAATTTTTACAAAAAGATTTAATATTTTGTAAATTAATTTCAATTTGTGTTTTTCAGATTGAGTTTACTAGTTGAATTTTTTTCCTTTTGAGTTTCACAGATTTTCTCCTTGCCTCTAGCCCAATATTGACCAATAAGATGTTGTTGTTAATGTCCATGCAGGCCAATAGAAATGGATCTTCACTCCTCCCTCCAGAGAAAATTCCTCCCCCAGAAGTGAAGGGAATCGCTGTGCCCAAACATCCACCCTAATCATTATATAGGGAACTATGAAGTGGTTATGCCATTTTAGATGAGTGTCTGAGCGTCTGTTGGATGAAAAAATAGAGGACTTGAAATTTACCACAATGCACCATGTAAAGTAGTGATCATCCATGGTCAATAGACAAGCAGATAAATCCCATCATGCTTTGCGAGAACTCTCCTCGCAAAGCACCATGGAATTTGTTGTGGCAGTGAAAAATAACAAAGATGGCACAAGCACTGTGCGGGCAGGCGGAGTTAAAATGACCAACACGGCACAGAAAGTAATGATCATCTGTCCGAACGGTCAGTTAACTTAGTTCACTATAAAGCTCACTAGGGATGCACGATATTGGGATTTTGGCCGATATCCGATATGCCGATATTTTAAAACTCATGTAGCCGATAACCGATATCGATACCGATGTTAAAGCTGGACAAAAATAAGTAGTCATTGAAAATAGCAGTTTTGTTATCCATTTCTGACACTTGAAAAAATAATATACTCAAATATATTTTCATATGCTGATATCAAATTGATTTTTAAAAACGTGGTATCGATCTATTTTACTTTCAAAATCTCGTGAAATTTCATCGTTCTGTTACAAACTCTCGTGATATTTTGCAAATTCTTGTAAGATTTTGTTAGTAAAATGGATTAATACCGCGTCAATATATCAACATATAAAAATATGGCAAAATTTTGTGAATTTTCGGGGAATTTCGTAGCATAACGATGACATATAGCAAAATTTCATTAGTAAAAGTGATTGATGTGGTGTTTTTAAATGGAAATATATCAGCATATGAAGATATTGTGATATTTTAATCTATCAATATTTTTTCCCTCGTCTTTAGAATTTTTTAAGTCTGTAAAAAAATACGTTTTTGAGGAAGAAGTAGTATTTATTTTATTTTTTTTTAGACTTTAGAAACTCAGAAGCTGATCAAATATCGGGTTAAATATCGGTGGGGTGTCCGATATTCAATTTTAAGGCCGATACCGATAGGGGGCCGAATTATATCGTGCATCCCTTAAGCTCACTATATCTTTTCCGCTCTAAATTTAGGGATTTAGGACGGACATTTGGACACAGCCAGTTGAAAAAAGTGAAAATACAAGATAAAAAAAAATACTTTGAAAGACAAATTTGAAACAAGAAATCTAAACAGTCAACTTAGTCTCACATCAAAGTTCAATTTCCGGATTGCTTTTTGTAATTTTTTTATTCAAATTTCAATTGACCAACTGTGTTTTTTCTATTTTATTTGATTACAACAATAATGGAAAAAATTCACCCCTTAGTTTTCTGCTCTTGTGTTTTAATTCGATTTTCAAAATGCCATTAGTTTCAGTGACTAAACACTCCGAGTCCTCCTGTTTTTTTATTTTTTGTGTTGCATCTAAAGCTGACACTCAGTTCAAATTTAATAGCTGTATTGATTTTTATGTTTTGTTGTATTAGAATCACAAACTTCAAAGCACTCTGATGGGATTTTACAGGCAGGACAACAACGCAGTGCAATAGATGGGGTCGGCCTTCTTTACTCGGATAAACTTCTACCAGTGCAGCCAGTTTCCCTTATTTGTTTCCAGACTAATAAATCCACTAGCATGTGATTCTTCTCAGGACTAATCCTGTTTTTGTATGAAGGCCTCAGAGGTTTGTTAGAGATCATTAAGAATCGACTAATGAACTCGGCACACAGGTCAGAGAGAGATGTTGGGTTGGGTTATACATATAGGGCTTTTTGTACATACAGGACCACCATTATATGTATTACACAAATCTAACCTGTATAGAGGAGTGTCATGAAAAAGAGTTCAAAAATCCATACTTAGCCATAATGTGTCAGTGACGGTTTATAGCTTCAAATGACAACAAAGTCTGTCTAAGTATGTAGTTGTAGATTTCTGGCCACTGTAGCCATCTTTGATTTTAAATGCAGTTATTTGAGGCTATGATGCCAACAGAGCTGCAGGATATATTTAATCAGTCATAATCTGTATTATGTATTTGTAATATTAATTTGCAGTATCATAAATGCAAAGGACTGCATCAACCCTACATGTTGCATATTAATATCAGTTATCTGGCCTCTAAATTTCTATACCTGAGGATCATTTTTACTAGTATACATCCTGGACAGTGTTAGGAATATTCTATACAGGTAAAGGACAGGGAATAATAATAAAGGATGTTTATTCCCAATCCGTTTCCCGTGTCATGCAGTCTTATGTTGTCATGGGGATTAAAAACTCCACTTGTTTGGATTTACAGAATTGGCTATTGATAAACCAGCCAAATTATGCACTGCAATAATCTGCTTTGTTGAATATTTTTTTCTTTCTGCTTTTCTAATGGCCTTCAGAATTTTTAAAAAGTGGCACCGGGCTTTTCTTCTGTTGCGGGGACGCTGCTCTTTCTCACTTTCATGGTAAAAAAAAAAAGTCTTGAATCTCAGATGAGAATTCTCTCAAATGGCAGATTATGACCTGTGTTTCTTCTACCAAGGAATCTTGTTGGTGTCGAAGAGTTCTGCTTGATGAGAGGCAGTGACTGTTTTAGCAACTAAACAGTTGCTCATGTGGTAACATTTTGTTTGGAAACTGCACCCCCACCCCCATTTGTTGTGATACGGCATGAGATAAAGCTTGAATTATAGCAGCAGACTGTTAGATTGACGTAGCGATTGAGGCTAAGCCACACAAGCTTATCCTGTCATGGATTCTGTCCTACATTTCCAAGCATCCAGAAATGTACCTAAAACTAGTCATCAGTTTACTTCTGGCTGTTTCCTGACAGAAGCCCAGGATGTGTCTTTTTCCAAACAGTAATAAGTCACTTTTCCCAGGCATTGGAAAGCAGCCGGTGTTATTGGCTCTGTTTGTTCAGCTTTATCCATTCCCAGCATATGTAAATATTAACCCCCATGTGATGCTCTGCGGCCCTGACTTCTCCCTCCACTTGTTGTCGTTTAAAGATGTTTTTTTAATTAAAAAAGTGTTACGTTTTTTTTTTTGTGGTTTAGCAAAGGAGGTTTAAAGCTTTTATGTGTGACTTTCCCATGTCAAGACCTCTTGCTTTGCAGAAACAGTAGAAATAGATTTTTAAATGAGGTCAGTACATTTCCAAACAAGACAGGGGTTCATGGGAGTTATTTAGGTCAGAGGTTAGTCACTTTGAGATTTAAGTTGGAACTCTAGAGCTGTGGAAAAAAAACAAAACAAAAACGGCTTAGTTGTTTGTTGTGCTTATTTGCAAGGCATTCTTTTTTTAAATTAAGAAAAACTGCTTAATGATAACTAAGAATTCAAATGAACTGACTAGAAGCATCACAACCTGTTGGTAGGAAGGGCCTCCTTCCTGTGTAGGATTTCAGAGGTTGGTTTGTCCTTTTTCATTTTTTTCTTTGGTGTGATTGTGAGTTTTCCTACCAGTGCAAAAAAAAGCCCCAAAAAAGTGGGTTTCTAACTGCCACCTACAAAGCCTGACAACCACCGCTGCCATTTTTAGCTCCACAGCCAGTTAATAGGAGTACACTGGCCTACTTGTAACCCCCCCCCCCCTTTTCTGGAATTGGTGAGTAACACAGGCTGGATCCATCTTTAGCTGATTCGGCCTGGATTGTTTGGACTTTTCTGAGGCAGGATGTAAAAATCAGCCTTTTATCCTTGAACCATAAAACATGTCTGCATTGGTTAAATAGATCAAATGAGATCAAGCTGAAGTCAGATGGGGCATTTCAATGTTTTTCAGGACATTTGCAACATGTCTTCTGCCAGGAAATATGATTGTTCCTCATAGCACATGACTTCCCTCTCAACAGGGGTTATGAGGAGGGTCAAGATAAACAAACCTTAGTCTGAATGTTTGTGTATGTGGATTGCTCTGACATGGCCGTTCATCCTTACTGATGTAGCCTTCCCTTTACCCTTCTTTTTCTTTGACCTCTTGGTGACTCATTACTTCATTCCTGCACTGCTGTACTTATCCCGATTTTGTTTGCCCAAAGTCGGC